TGGGTAGGGATTCCCAGGGGAAGACCCAACAACAGCAAACAAGCTGTTGCTGAGCAGGCATTCTTCTTTGCAGCGCTGGGGATTCTCCACCGTGAGTGCTCCAACGAGTTAGTGAAACACCCCAACTACTATGCACCAAAAACATGCGTATTCAGTTCCATGTAAGTGAGTTCTCACAATTCTTTTACATAGTAGTTTTACTTCCTGGAATTCACTGTCTTTGTAATTATGTGTGCTCGAGGGTCTCCTGTGGGGGCCTTCGTTGATTCTAGTCCTTTATCCTGTCTCTCCTCCTGGTCCTGTGTCCAATGTCCTGCTGGTAGATTGCCCAGGTGGGTAAGAATCCACCTAAGTGTTGTCTGTAGGCACCACAGGTTCTTAGAAGACTTGATGTTACCAAAACCTGCAGGATGCTTGGCATAGTTGACTGATAGTTTCACAAAGCACATTGTTTTAAAAATAACACTTAGTATAGCAAATTCATTATTTTAGTACATTTTTATTAGGCTGTATTTCTGATGAATTTACTAACAAATACCCTGTGACTATCAGGGCTGCCTCCAGAGCCTCTGCAGCCCCCAGACATGGGGCAGGGGGCCCTGCTGTCCTCCTGCACTGCCCACTCCCAACTCCCAGCTCAGGCAGCACAGCCCCAGTGGAGGTGCCATAACAAGTGCTGCAAATGGGGCACGTGTCACTGGGACAGCAATGGGACAGCACCAAGTGGTTATTGTTAGAAATGAAGTGTAGTCTTAGTGTTAGAAGTGTAGCGTTGGGGTTCCTAGTGTTAGGAATGTAATAGTTTGTTTCTGCCATAATGAAAAGAATTTAAAGTTCATGGCAACTGAAGAGGGAAGTGAGATACCTGGGCATTCCAAGGGCACCTGAGGTGGTTTATGGTCCAAGAAACAGAGGGACTTAACTGGGCTCCATATGGGGGATCTGAACATGGAGCAGGATTTATGGCCAAGGTAAGACAGAACAAAGTCACTTCTATCTTGCTCCTCGGAACAGCGCAGCACCGGAAGGTAAGAGATCATTTTGGTGATTGGGAAGGCAGCCAAGGGGGTGAAAAAGGTCAGAATTAAAAGGTAAAAAATAAACTCCTAGAATGGAATGTGTAAACAGGGGTGGGAAACTTATAGGATAATTGGAAGCATCAGACAGGCTGTAAACCCTGGACTACCCAGCCAGTGGGGAAACGGGAGGGAACTTTGCATTGGGAATAGGGAATATAAACAGTTATTCACCTTACTATCAGGTGTGCCTACTTGTTTAGGCCACCCATTCTTGCAAGAGTGTAAATAAGCTGTGCTTTGCTGAAGGATCTGTGTGGGCCTGTTCACTGGCACCACAAGCATTTCTCACAGTTCTGCCCATCCACGTTTCCCTCCAGCTGCCTTGTTCTCTGCTGGGATTGACAAATCAGTAATACCCACATGGAGACTGAGAGCTTCGTGCTGCACTTGGCTTTGGGCAGCCTGACCTGTTGCAAAATCACCCAGAGCCCTGTAAAACCCACACAACTTGGCAACGTGGTTCTTCCCAACCTCGCCCAAATGTCTCGGGCTATAAATGCATGGAGAGACTGGTTGGCAGTGGTCTGTGTCCAGCTCGGTATGTCTCATCAAAGTGTTTCAGTGATGCTCTTTGTGTGGTCCTTCCCGTCCAGCATATACCTCAAAGGTACTGAAGAATTTGGAGATGAGGCACCAGAGCAATGAGAAAACTGGAGAAGAGAGCAGAGGTGAGAGGATGTCAGAGGTTAATGTGGTGGTTTATCCATAGGATGCCCACGCTGGGACTGAAAGCTCTTCAGGGAGATCTTCAGTCTGCCAGGCCAAAACAAACAAATCCAAAGGTTAGAATTAAATGGGAGAGGTGCAGAGAGAGGGAGGAGGGGACTGGCACTGTGGTCCCCAACATGGGTCTGAGCAAGATCTGCTTCCAGGTCGATCTCCCCTGCCAGTAGCTCCAAGTGCCCCGGCTTCCCAGAGCTTCCCCTGCCCTGCATCTTTCTGCAAGGTGGGAGGATGGACACAATGCAAAGCTTTGCTAAACCATGAAAGACGGGATCGTGTCTCTGAAGCAGAGCATCACTTGGGAACAGCTGCCAGGATCTTGCTGCCAAAGCACAGAAAGTTCAGAAAGGAAAAAAAAACAACAAAACAAACCAAACCCTTACAGCAGGATGTAAATGGTTAAGTTAAACAGACTGGCCTGAACATGGAGGCAGCAAATGGGGAAAAACTCTGGGTGTGAAAGGGCTCTTTGTCCCATCAGGAAGGCGAAGGGCACCCAGGGGCTGGGCACTGGGGACGCACCCAGATAGGAGTGCCGGGCAGGCTTGTTTGCAGCACTCCAGGAAAAGAGTTGGTTTTACACCCTTGTTCCTTTTGCAGTTGGACAAGACTCTGCTTGGAAAGTGCTTTGATGAAATAATGGAATGGCTCAGCTGATGTGCTTTGGAAAAGCAAGGCAGACTTAAGGAGGAGCTCCAGCCCTTGCAGAGGGCCAGCTAGGTGGGACAGGACAGCCATCCTGTTGTCCTTCCCTCCAGCACATTCAGGGTGAGCAGCTGCAGCTCATGGTGGGTCTCACACCCTGAGAGGACAACCAGAAAATGAGCACTCCATGCAAGGGGACCTCTTTTTCCCTGTAGGAGAAGGACTCTGAGGCACAAAACCAGAGGTGCTGGGCCAGGGGGAAGGCAGGAGGCCGGCAGCAGCTGGGCAGGAAAGAGATGCAATCTCACCACCCTCCTTTCCTGAGCTGAGAGACCCAGTGAATAAAGGAAAGCAGATAAGGAAAGCTGTCCCAGCCAGCTGCTCACTGGGGCGATGGCTCAGCTCTGCAAGGGGTCAGCATGAGTTATGTTTCCTGGCAGCATGAGGCTGCACTTTTGGAGGGATATCCGCTGGGTAGCGTGGGACAGCAGGGCTCGGCGCGCATCACCGAGGGGCCCGAAGAGGAGGGCAGGACCAGGGCATGACTTTGGGCCTCCCCAGGGAATCCAGCCTGTTTTTGTGATGGGGATGAGGCACATCCTGCTTCTCTGCTCTTTGTGTGGGGGAAAACAGAGCAAGGCAGGAGGAAACTTTCTGAACGCTTCGGGAAGTTGTTGCCTACCACATCAGTGCTTGCTGGTTTATACAGCTGTCCCTCAGGCAGGCATTCAGCAACTGGTAATAGAAAATGCAACAAGTACACGGTGTAAGCAGCTAACCTTGGACCTGGAGAAGGGCTGGTCAGTCTGTTATCCCAAGTTACAAGTCATAGAACAAGGGGAAATGGCCTCAAGTTGTGCTAGGGGAGGTTTAGATTGGATATTAGGAAAGATTTCTTGCCTGAAAGGCTTGTCAGGCACTGGAACAGGCTGCCCAGGAAGTGGTGGAGTCACCATCCCTGGAGGGATTTCAAAGAGGTGCAGATGTGGTGCTGAGGGACATGGTTCAGTGGTGGACCTGGCAGTGCTGGGTAAATGGCTGGACTTGATCTTAAAGTTTGTTTCCAACCAAGACAATTCTATGATTCTAAGACCCTGATAACTGATAATGTGTGCTTGCATGGTCACAAGCTGGTGCGTCTCCTCAGATGTCACCACTAGCAGGAACCATGAAGCAGACTCCATGAGGAGGTCAAAGACCCTGTGCCTTCCCCAGGTGCCAGGCGGGTAACATGCTGGCTGGAAGGAGACACGCCAGTGACATATGTCTGTCACGGTGCACTTGAGGATGCTGCATTTTGACTGAGCTTGAGGGGTAGAGGTTTCCTGTGCATCCCAAGGAAGTGATGGACGCAAGGGAACAGAGCCCAAACCATGCATTATCACTCCAAACCTCCCCAGGGCTGCAGGGGACATCCTTACAGCAGCTCTACCCACCATAGACCCAAGTTCCTCCAGAGCCTCCTTGCACAAACTGGGCCCTCACCAAGTCCCCTGGCACCTCTACCCACCCACAAGGACCAAGCACACCTATCCATCTTGTCAAACTGCTTTAATATTTGGACATGAAGACAGGACAGAGCCAGCCAGGCTGTGCACAGACATGATGCCTCTGCACCACAGTGTAGGGCTGCAGGGCTTCCCTTCTCAACAGAGGTGTGGATTTGGCCAAGATGCAGTTCAGCTGAGGACATCCTGAGCATACCGGTGGGGTGCACGTGTGGGGTAGGGATGGGGGATAAGGATTCCCCAGGGCAGCTCAGAGGTTATTCAGCTCCAACAAGGTCTGGTCCAGGACCTGGTGGATGCCCACGTTCTCCTCTTTGGCACTGGCCAGATTCTCTGTGAACACAAGGGACACGCAGCCATGCACACGGAAACACCCCAAACGTACCCAGGCGCAGCCGGACCCACGCACACCACACCAAGCACAGACACACGCACACAGACGGACATTTCAGTACGGCGACAGCCTCCTGCCCAGCATCCTGGGGCATCCCTGTGGAGCAGACTCTGCACAAGCAGCCTCATCATCGGCAGGGGTGA